TCTTTTGCAAATTGCATAATTTAAATAATAGTGACTATTATTAGTGATACATTATTAATAATATTACATCATTTTAAATGATTGTAATTTCCTAAATCTGTTTTATTTATATTATTTTTTCTCTCTTAGTTTTTTCATAATACGATTTAAATATAAAATCGGGATGCAATGTAAACCGGCACCTGTCTGTAAAACAAATCATGAATTAACTTCATTTTCTTAATGTTGCTTTATAATGTCAAATAATTCTATCGGAGCAATAGCACATATATGGCAAAGCTTATGTGACATTTTATGGTGGCACTGCTCCAACTGATAAATCATGTAGGGAATGGTTTCGACGTTTCAAGGATGGAGATTTCAACGTTGAAGACAAGTCTTGCTCTGGACAGCCAAAAAAATTTGAAGACAAAGTATTAGAGGCATTACTGGAAGAAGAGTCAAACGCAAGAGGAGCTTGCAGAATCATTGGGTGTAACTCAACAAGCCGTTTTTGCACGATTGAGAGCCATGGGAATAATTCAAAAACAAGGAAATAGGATGCCTTATGAACTGAAACCGAGAGACGTTGAAAGACGATTTTTCACTGAGAACAGCTGATTCAAAGACAACAAAGAAAAGGTTTTTTGCATCGGATTGTGACTGGAGATGAGAAGTGGATATTCTACGACAATCGCAAGAAGAAAAAATACTACGCTAAGCCCGGACAATCGTTGCCATCGACCTCAACATCAACACCAAAGTCGAACATTCATGGTTCGAAGATCATGCTCTGTATCTGATGGGACCAAAAGGGTGTTGTTTACTATGAGCTGCTGAAACCTGGCGATTTCATTATGGGCGATCGGTATCGGCTACAATTGATTCGTTTGATTCGCCATGCATTGCGAGAAAAACGGCCGGAATACGAGCAAAGACATGATAAAGTTATTTTTCTTCATCACAACGCTCGGCCTCATGTCGCAAAAGTCGTAAAAAAATATTTGGAAACGCTCAAATGGGATGTTTTACCGCACCCGACGTATTCTCCAGACATTGCTCCTTCTGATTACTGATTGTTCCGAAGGATCTAGCATGATTTGGCAAGTCACCGGTTCATTTCTTTCACAAAAATCGAAAATTGACTGCAAAATTGGATCGCCTCCAAAGACGAATCATTTTTTTGAGATGGAATTCGAAAATTGCCTGAGAGATTGGAAAAAATAGTAACCAGCGATGGACAATACTTTAATTAATCTGTTCATTCATTTTGTTTTGAAATAAATGTATTTTTGAACACAAAAAAAAAGGCCCGAACTAATTTGTACTCCCAATATATTTTTAACATTTAATGATAATATATATTGTTAGATAATCATTTAAATTTTAAAAAGTTTGCATTTTTGAAGATCTGTTGTACATTTCTTTTATCACTTACACTTTCCGATTTATGCCCGGGAAACAAACATATACGAGTTATTATAACTCTATTTGTTTGTAATTAATAATTAACAAAAGGAGATCGAATGGAAATGGATTTTTGTAGCAAAATTGAAAATTGAATATTTATTTCTATAATATTTATATTGCAATATGCAATATTATTTATAATTGTAATATTAATTTCAAAAATATGACAAATATATATTTGTCCACTTAATCCTAATATCTTCCTCATTAGAGGTATGACTTTCAATGTCTATCAATAATATGTATTGTACTGGTACAATATTCGCGGAATGATGTGTTTTTTTGAGTGTTCTTATCTCTTTTAAAATATAATAGTCCGTTAAAGAATTTGTCATACATAATTATACATAAACGGTTGTACATAATTTGTAACCGTTGTAAATAAGTTATGTATAAATAAGTTATGTATAACCGTTTATGTATAATCATGTATGAAAAATATTTTACCGTGCTACTATATTTTAAAAGAGATAACATCTTTCGAATGACACGTCACTTCACAATGAATATTGTACAAACGTGTTATTGATAGTCGTTATAGTTAATTATAATATTGTACCAGCAAAAGTGTTAGTGGTAATCGTTGAAGGTCATGGCTATAATGAGGAATTATCAATGATGATACATTAATCAAGTGATGATACATTCATTTGTTATATTTTTGAAGTTAATATTACAATTACAAACAATATTGCATATTACATCATAAATATTACAAAAACAAATATCTGGAAATTGCTACAAATATTGAAATTTAAAAAGTTTTAGATTAAAATAGTTTAAAGTCTAAAGACAGGAAATTATTTGCAATTAATTGGCCAACATTTTACCTTGCAATTATACATTTACGAAAAAAAAACAGCACTATTATGTACGGTAAAAGGGACAATATCAAAATTTGCATATTATTAATAATATTAAAATATATAAATTAAATGTTTAAAAAAATATATATATGTATTACAAATTTTATTTTGAATGTTCCAAACGATTATAGAAATAAAAAATTTAACTTATTTTCATGGAGACTTGTTATTTTATATTTTGAAAAATGCATTAAATTCTATATTATTCTGCAATAAATTCTAGAAGAAACTTTTTTGAGCATTTAAATACTTTCTAAAATATTATAATATATATTCCGAAGATTTTTTCTGCGTCGAACATGAAATTGGCAGAATTTGCATAGTGCGTCAAGATTTTATAAATTAGGAAATGAGAAAAAATAATATAAGTTGATGAAAATAAGTGATATATGGTCATGATCTAGAATTCATTTAAAAACTCTTGAATTGTACTTTTAGATTCGACTTTATTTAGAAACAAGGTTTGTTTTGCTGTAAAAAATATTGAAAACAGTAAAAAAATGTCATTTTTTGCCCATTTCATCTCAATTGAACTCAAAATCTTGTTCTATTCAAATCTTACCAATGGCATCGTGTTCATCAAGAAAATATCTTCGGAATATGATATGTATTTCAGAGAGAAAGAAAAGTGATTTTTTTTAACAGTGTAATGAATGTATGCAAATGACTGATAACAATAAACAATAAACATGCAAGATAACGAAATCAGTACAACTTCTTTAAGCACTAAAGGAATTTTTTGCACTAAAGGGAACTTTACAAACTAATTTCTTAATTAATCACAATTAAAATTCCACATTAAAATTGATTTCTTTGTCAGATAATTTAAAAATTGAATCATTATTTATATATTGATATAATTCCAATGTTATCTTAAATATTAAATCTTGCTGATTCAACAATTCCGTAAAAGATTTGTATAATTACTACTTAATAAATTAAAGCAATGTACACTTTTTCCGACTAGAAAGAAATTTTTTCTTTTTTTAAAAGGAACCTAACCCTAGAAAGAAATTCTATTGGGTCAGAGCATATATGGACTTACAAGTAGAGTTGGGAAGTAATGCGTTATTTATAACACTGTTATTTTTTTCGTTACTTTCTTCGG